TTTATGATTTTTGGATTAACTAATTAAACCTCTTCCTAGTTGTGAAGGCTCAGCACAGTGATTTTTCCTTCTTTTTCTAACCATGTCAGTCGTGTGAAAATTAGTTTTGGAAATGTGTGGTCTCCCTCCCACTTGTATATATGTGATTGACATTTGAGTCACTTGCAGAAGTACTAATCTGGAAGCGCTGAAGACAGGGCATCTTTAGTGCTGGCAGATGAATAGGCTTTTCTTTAAATGTTCCTGTACAAAAGATACAAGCTTCCCTAAACAGTTTCTTTCTTCTACAAAGCACTTGTTTTGGAGTTTGGAAATCCATTTTGGAACAGCTTTGTTGCAACCACTTTATTGTCCTTTCTGCAGTGGGCAGAAAAGTGATTCTTCTAGCATTTCTACACAGTATGATTCCAGAAAAATAATGAATTCCTGGTGGTTTCCGATTCGAACTAGGTCCAGGATCAGTATGTTATTGGCACAATTCTATGCATGTGTACCCAGAACTAAGTCACATTGACTGAAATCTTGTTTCTTAGCATAGTAAGTTGTACTAGAGTAGGTGTATTAAATTGATGACTCAATTCTTGCATAAAATCCATTGATTTAAATGAGCTTACTCTAGTTGTGATTTACTTTAGCATAGTAAGTCACAATTAGAGTAGGCCCATACTTCTAATTAAGCTGGAATCTTAAATTGTGCTTTTTAACTGATATTTGAGAAGAAGGCATCTGAGATCCTTGAAAGCATCTTTGTGCTATCATTTTACAGAAGTCATAGTTCTTTCTTTCCCTCCCCTCTTTCCCATCCATCCATCCGCTCTCCCACTCATTAATTATAACGATATTGGGCAAAGAAGACTCTTAAGTCTCTTCCATCTAATTCCTCTACTTTACCACCTCCAGAATCATATTTCTGGATGCAATATGACGTATCTTGCACATTTAAACAGATGGGGTTGTTTCTGTGTTTGCATAATTCACTGTGAAACGTGTTTTTAAGAAATGTAGTTCACTCTCTACCCTCTTTGGAAATAAGATACATTGCCCATTGATTGTCAGTAAAATGGAATTTAAAACAACTTTTGCATCCTAGTGGAGGGGGGATTAGTTCAAAATTATTTCCTTGAGACTCCATATAAACACTTTGTTTTACAAAAGATAATGACTCAAAGTCTGATTCAGCAAAAATAAATCCACTTAGCAGATAATTGCTGCATCAAACAACAATGCAAACTATTACATTTGTTTGTTTGTTTGTTTGTTTGTTTGTTTGTTTGTTTATTATGCCACCTCATGGTGAAAGTACTCACTGGGTGGTTCACAGCATAATTATACTAAATTACATTGTATCACTTTCAGCACAAAGCAGTCAATCAAGCAGAAAGCCACAGTTAATGAGTATGCATGAACTAGGTCTGTCCAGGTCTTAGTTACAAATACCATCAGAGACTATTGACAAGTTGTATGAAGATATGGTTGACTCCATATTGCTAAAGCTTTGCCAAATTAGTTTTTTGGAGTACAGCTTCCAAAATCTCCCAGCTGGTAAGGTCTATGCTCATGCCAACTTGGGAATTCTGGGAGCTATGATACAAAAAAGTAAAACAGCAAAGTCTACACTGACAGGAGAAACCCTACATTAGAGTGCAGGCAGAGAGAGGTCTGTCTCATCTTGTCCTACAGCTGCTGCCATAAGCAGAACCTGGAACAAGTCAACAGTCCCTCCCTACAATCACTGTTCCATTTGAGAGGAGGGGCTTCCCCTGGTTTAACTCTACAGCCAAGGAAAGGAAAAGGAAACAGCTAAATTTTGAAGTGGGACAAAATGAAGACAGACCAAGAATACATTCAGTGAAATCCACCACTGCAAAGACTACGGAACAAAGTCATGTACTTAACTTGTGCAGTGATGATGCTTTCATTTAAATGCATCAGCCAGAATCCTGTTCATTATTTTCACCGGTGTGAAAATTGTGGTATAAATCATGGTAGTCAATTACTGCTAGTTACTGAGTCTCTGCTTAGACTCTATACTGTACCTCTTCATGCATTGCTTATGTGATTTGTGCAAAACAAGTACAGAAATTTGCTGTTGTGATTTATAGTTTTGCATTTATACTAACATAAATGACCATAAATATAATGGTTTAATGTATTTACTTATTTCAAGCATTTTACCACACTTGTCAATTGATAAAGTGTGACCTACAGATCAGTAAGAAAATAAGTTCCAAAAGAAGAGATACAAAAAGAAAAACAAATAACAAAGGAAGAGGAAAACACAAGATGCAGCCATCAGTTTTTAAAATTACAGGTTAATAACTCTTAGCTTAGATAGAAACAGTTCAAGCAGACTAGTGGAATGGCCATTTCTAGGTCTCACAGCAGAGTGATTAACTTGATTAATTGATTGCTTCTCTTCCCTCTCTGTACTGAAGTCTGACTATCTTAATAGTGCAGTAGTGAAAGAACAGAATGAGTTAAATGACAGACAAGGAATGTGATCTCTAGAGCTCTTTCCAAAGGGGACAATGAAATAGGTTAACACTAAAGTAATAACCATCTAGGGCAATTCACTTGATAACTGTATATGTGCAACTTAATTTAAGTGCTGCTTTTCCCCATCCTGAGCTAAATTCAATGGGATCATTTACTATGTGAGACAAAGAGTTCTGTGGAAGAGAGGGATAAGGCAAAGAGAAAGATCATTTTAAAAAAATACATGTGAGTGGTTAAGAAATCTCCTCTGTACCCTATACTCAGTATTTCATATAATCTCATTCACTTCTCATCCTGCTCTTCAAGCAAAATATGTCTACAACCCTCTCTGCAATTTGAAATGAATGATGCTTAGCGTTTGGCTAGACAGCCAAATTGGAGCAATCTGAATTAGGTTAAATAGGATCTGTGCATCCACATGTAAGAATCAGGTGGTTTCAGGTCAGGAAACTGCACCACATCTCAAGTGACCCTGTTTTAAAGGGCAGGAAAGGAGGAAGCTTTTAATTAAAAGGAAGCTTTTCATTAAAAAAAATCCTTAAAGGCATAGCACATCAGTGTTGCCTTGCAAGGCTTTAAAAACAACAAAACAATATTTGGATCTTTTCTCCCCTTCTACAGAGGAGTGGAAGAAGCTTTCAGTTTCCCAAGATAGCTTAAACTACTTACCAATATTGGAAATTGAAAGTTCTCTGCTAAAGCCACCAACTTTCGTTTGATCCTAGTGACCACATGTGCTGGAATCAAACCAAAATAGAGCAATACTAGCCCCACCTAAAAAGCAAGAGCCTCTGACAGGGAGCAAAAAGGATATGGGTAGGAATACATCAGAGATTATTCTGGTTTACAGTGGCATTTATGACGTGTGGTAAGTGGGGAAGGGAGCATACCAACCTGTCCCCAGAGCAGACAAACAGCAAGACAAATACAGTACCTGCCTATTTGCACCCTTAATAGACCTAAAAGATCTTGTTAGAATCAGTGGTGCTAATCAGTTCAACTTTTATCATGTATTCCATGAAGGATTCCAGTAGTCATCCCCTTGCATAGGGGACATCAAAAGTGAAAAACTCTACCTTCATCCAGCTATATGAAGCACTATGAATTGAGCTTTCACTCTCCACCTTATTTGTTCTATTACAGATTTTTTTAAACCAACCTTTACCTCTGACTTGGAAGCCTGTATATGAAAAGATTTGGGTTAAAATGAAGCTGTGGATAATATCAGCCTACATTAGATTCCCATGGCTATCTGGACACTTTGTGTTAACAGAACATTACATCTTTATTTTATTTCAGCATTACTATGCATGGGACCATGCTGTTTGCACAGCCACTTTAGGCCAAGGTAGACTGAGTTTAGCTGTGTGTATTTTTCAGATTTGCATAACTGTGTGAGATGGAACCTGCATTTAACCAGGTTAATATGTGTCGGAAGCCCGTGTGTGGGAATACCACTTCTTAGCTTGATAATATCAGCCAGTGGCTGTCAGTTGGAATGAAGAAAGCAAAATATTGCAGTGGCAGGTGAATTCGAATGAAAAATAGCATCTTAAATTTCAAGGAGCAGGAGCACATTTAGAAGCTCATTTTCAAAATGTTTATACAGTGGGGTCTTGACTTGAGAACTTAATCCGTATTGGAAGGCAGTTCTCAAGTCAAAAAGTTCGCAGGTCAAATCTGCATTTCCCATAGGAATGCATTGAAAACCATTTGATCCGTATCTGCTCTTTTCCGTCCATAGAAACTAATGGGAACCTGCTACTCTGCCTTCGACCACTAGAGGGGGATATTTTGTTTCTTTTGTTCTTAGGTCAAGAAAGGTTCAGGGAAGGCAGGGAAAATACAGTCCAGGCAGTACAGTACCAGGCAGTCTGAAGACTGTCTCCCAATCCACTCTCTAAACGCTGGGAGGAGAGAGGAAGCAGACAGGCACCCTTTTCACTGGCCCACAGTTAACTGAAAGTTCAAATTTTGCACTTTCCCTGCCTCCCACGTGGTTTATTTCAGTTCTTAACTCAAATCTAAGTATGTAAGTCAAGTCAATATTTTCCTAAGAGAGTGGTTCTTAAGTCAAAATGTTCTTAACTCGAGCCGTTCTTAAGTCAAGACCCCACTGTATTAACAGTTTTAACTGAAATACAATTTCCTCTTTTGTGTGTGTGTGTGAATCAAAGTTAGTCATTTTCTCTGAGGAAAAGAGGTCTGAAAGGAAGCATGTGGTGCTGCAGAAGTAACCCCAAACCCTAACTGGTTTACTTTTCTACTCTTCCTATATAGCAGGCTGTTATATATATTTATTTATCTGCCAATATTTATGAACCACTGAAATTAAACTTTGCTAGATAATACATAAATAAAATGGCCTGGGAAGACTTGTTGAACAAATGAGGTTTTCAGTATTGAAAACCTGCAAGGTTTGATGCATGTCTCTAGTCTGTACCCTACTCTCTGCCTCAATATTCCTTATGTTCTAACCTTTTTTTGTGGGGGGGCTGTCACAGGTTTGGAGGGGCACTCTGGCTCGCCTTCGCTACAAAAGGACACGGGCAGCACTCAAAATCATTAAGTGCTATCGTCGATATAAAGTGAAGTCTTATATCTGTGAGATTGCCCGTCGATTTCACAATGTGAAATCAATGAAGGATTACGGAAAGCATGTGAAATGGCCCACCCCACCTAAAGTGCTTCGGCGATTTGAAGAAGTACTACAGGCAATCTATTTCAGGTGAGTATCTGAGGCAGTCTGTCTCATTGTCCTGGAGATAAGTCAATCTTATTGTACATGTTGTGAAACTGCAGTAGTGTCCTGCATTAGAGAAAGATATAGGTGTGACAACCCCAGACCTACTGGGATAGGCCACAGTTTCACTAAGCTGCCACCAACCATTCCCTATAAGAAGTCACACAGACCAGGAATGGATTTTTAAACAAACAAAGGAATAAGGTTTATTTAAATAACACACAGGGAAAATAAAATGATCAAATGAATAAGATACAGTAACGTGGCTTAGTCTCAATCATACATACACCAGTCTGGTTCACACAGAACACCTTTAAATAAAGCACAGACCCTGAACCTATCAGTTCTGGCTACCCATAAAGACACCTGAACCTATCAGGTTGGTACTGACTGACACACAGTAGTACCCTGTCTGACACACAGACTCCCACACCAGCTTCTTCTCTCAGCTCTCCTTCAGCTTCTCCTTCACAAACTCCACATATATATACAGTACAGCCCCTCCTCCTGATGTCCCGCCTTCCACTCCCCATAGGATGGAACTTTCCCTCCAAACCCATGACAGACAGGTAACATCAGTGCTGTATGTAACAATAGGCACCATTTCATGATATGGTGGCCATTAGACAAAGACTTCATTTTGTATTTGTAGTCTTGCCAGTCCATGGAGAAGTAATTGGTATGCATTCTTCTCATGCTTTGGATTTACTATGTGAAAATGCTAGTAAAAATCTAATGGAGCAACCATGTGTTCTTAGTTCCTTTCAGTGCCTATGCTAGCCTCAAGTGTGATTGCTTTGTAATATTTTTGTTTTTCAGGTGGAAAGCACATGAACTTATTAAAAGCATTCCCCCCAAGGATTTGCCTCAGATCAGGGCAAAGGTTGCTGCAATGGAGCTGCTGAAGGGGCATCGAGGTGATATTGGACTCCAAAGAGCTTGGCAGGGAAATTACCTTGCATCAGTAAGTGTGAGAAAACATGTGAAATTTCCATCACTTTATCCCATGGAACCACATAGATGAAAGCACGGTAGAAAATTAATAGTAGAGAACAACATGCTTATGCAGTTTGATATGCTGAGCAACTGGATTTCAGCTGCTATGTATGGAAGGGTAGTTGTAATCATGCCCTGCTTGTAGATTTCCTAGAAGAATCTGATTGGGGAAACAACATACTAAACTAGAAGGATATTTTTTTTCTGTGGGGCTTCTGTGAGCATTATGTTTTCCACACTGTTGCACAGAGAATGGACATATATAATGGGACATAATAAGCATGCATTCTCAGTCGGAATTTAGTCAAGCCCATCAGATGTCACCTTGGCTGGAAGTATGCCACAAATCCAGCTCTCAAGTCTTGAAGGCTGTTGACCTGCATAATTAAAGTACCCAGAGGGTACTTTAAGCACTGTGGGGGGTATATAAGCAGCACACTTTGCTTTTATAGATTAATGCTGTTTTAGCCAGAGCTTCGAAAGTTACTTTTCAAAGCTCCTTTTATTTATGGCAGTGTTTTAGAAATAACTGTCATTTAATTTAGAAGTACAGTAACTCATTACATTGCTTCTTCCTTTTTATTACATTATATAATCTTTTTAAAAATCCTTAGGATTGATAAAATAATGGCTTGCAATTTGAAATGTTCTTGTTAAAATGTTTCTGATACAGTAATTAAGTGTAACTTTGAAAAGTAATAGGAGAGTAGGAAATATTACTGCTTATGCTGATAAAACAACTTAATTTCCCCCATTCAGTGCATTAGTTTTGAATGCAGCTTCATTATATTTTTGTTACCACTGCCCCAGTAGTAACTTTCCTGGTTGTTACTTGTTGTTTGCAAGCTCTAGTTGTAGCATATTCTACCCCTTCCAATTCTTTATAAGAAAGTCCACTTTATAAATTGGGAAAGTTTGGCCTAAGGAGCAGCTTTGTTTGTGGGGGGCCAACAACTAAAGCTTTGTTTAAGTTTATATTTTGCCATTCTTTTTGTTGTCTAATCTAGAGTGGTAAAAGTACTATGACTCTGTTTTAAATGATGAAGACAATGATATGTCTATCCTGTTTGCTTTTTAGACTCCAAATAATCCTCAGGCTACAAGCTCATTTGTCCCCATTGCCTTTGACTTGCAAAGAAAGGACAAATTTATGAATGTCCTTTTCTCATCTCATGTTCGCAAGGTAAGCACAGCAAACAGCTGCAAAAGAATGAAAAAAGCCTCAAGCAGAAAAAAGCTACAGCCTGAAAATGGGGATGTGGTTGTAGTTTGGAGACTTCTAAAAGAGAAGAGATATTAAAAAGAATAGTAAAAGTGGTATTCCCACACACTGTGGATCTCAAGGACACCCTTAGTAGCTAAATGCAAGTGCCATTGCTTGACCTTTTAACCAAGGTTTAATTATTCAGATAAAATATTAAATGTGGTTAAGCGTGACCTCTATATATGACCATCTCAGATAGGTTCTTTGTCATTTCACTGGAGCATTCCTGAATTTGGCATTGTTCTTTTTGCTTGAAGTGTGGGGAATGCTGAAGTCTACTACATTGATTCAGTCATCCACTTGTCTAAGCATAATTAGGACTGTAAGCAATAAGGCTGAGGAAATCTTAAGGATGTGAATCATTGCAAATACTGCTTAATGAGAATTTCTTTCCACTAAAAGGAAAAAAAAACTATGAGTATGCGCTTGCTTTAGAAGAAACCTCAATTAGTATTTGTGTCAGAAGTGACAATCTACTTTGTAAGCAACAACACTCCCAGAAAGTTTTCTGGAATGTAATTTTGATCTGTAGTGTGATTATAATCTCTTCAGATCTTTCAGTACATCCTTTCTGATTTAGTTTCAAAGCGTAGTAGAACAAAGCATTTGCCCCTTCACTCTACAAGGATTTGTGACATCTACTTAGTCTTAATTTGTAATGGGAACATAGTTGAGAAATCTGTTAATTTACAATGTGGTAACATTTATGAAAGTTATCTTTACTGCTTTAACTTTTTTTGTCTTTTTGTTATATCTGAACCTATAATGTCACTGGTAATCATGACACAGAACAAAGACACAACACCTGTGGGCCTTTAGGTACTCTTTGTGTTCCCCCAAAACAGCAGGACTCCATCCATTTTCCTCACCGCTTAACATGTCACCTGAAATATGGAGAGTAGAACAATATCCATTGGTTTTGTTGCCTCCTGTTTTTATGGGTAGGTAAACAGTGATCCCACTAGAGGATGCTGGGAGTTGAAAGTCTGCTAAGCTGTATGTGTGTACATGCACGAACACACGTGAAGGGAAATTGTTTATGTATGTATGGTCATGTGATGCATTCATTATTGTAAGCACCCAGTAAATATGACATGTTTCTCGGGATGCACATTTGCTGTTGATCAGTGGCAGGCAAGGTATAACTAATGGTGGGGTATATTTGGCCTATTTAACTTGTGTGTATCCTTGGGTAAATTTGCCAGAGGAACTTTTGACTGGAAAATGTAAATTATTTTTGATCTCTTGCCCATCCCAGTTAACGAAATCTGTTGTAGCTCAATGGACATTTGGTGTAATCTTTGTAGGGGACATCGTTTTTATAACCTTTTCTTTAATTGACTTTTCAAGCAATTTCTAAAATCTTAAAAATATGTTTGATTAAATACTGTTATAGGACCATAATATTATAATAATTTTTCAATCAAGTTTCTTTTCTAATTAAAAAATACAGCTGCGTGCTACTTACAAAGTTTAAAACTCAAAAGGGGGAAGCAGTATGGTTCCTACTTCTGGGGTTATAGTAAGTATGTGCTAAGTTCTGGCAGTTCAGATGCCCTGTTATTCACTATTCATGTCAAAGCCACACACTTCAAAGATGGAACAATAGTTGAAAGGGTAATAATATGAATGGAACACAATGGAATTTAAAAAAAGAAAAGGCAAAATGTCTCCTGACAATGTGGAAAGTCAACTGCTATTCCGCTTGTTTATTGTAGTGGAAGAACAATTATTAATTAGCAGAAGGATCCATTTATATAGAAGTACTCTAAACAATGATAAAGGTAGTTAACGTGTGAACTAATCACTGGTGATGTCAGTTATTCTTTGTGGATTCACATGGGTTCAATTTGCGCCTCCTCAAACATCCTATGAAAGAAAATATTAGAACACTTCTCCACCATACACTCTATTCTGCATCTAATCTTTCAATGCCTTTTTATGCCACTGATAAAACACCTTACGAGCTTATCTGGAGCCTTTACATATTCTTATCAGACCCTTAACAGTTGTATATAATTATTACTTACTTTGTCCTTGACCCCTTTCTCCCCTCTTTGCTCTCCCAATATATTTGTCTTAGAAAAAATATTGTTAGTTTTATTTATTATTGGTTATAGTCATACTCCTCAGTTAACAGCAGTTCCCACCTTTTTATGGCCCCAGTGAGCTAATTTAAGAAGTGCATCAGCTGTAACAATAAGATCTCTCTCACTGACAGACATTCTAAGTGCCTTTGTTGCTTGAGTTAGGAGCATCAAACATAGAACTGTCAGATCTGCCATAAATTCACCAAGGTAGCCATAAGAAACTGGCAGTCCTGCTTGAAATTTTACCTTTGGGAAAAGTCTTTACTGGCCATTGAAACCATCGCCAAAAAGACACCTCAGTTTTAATGGTCTCCATTTGTAAAATACCTTCCAAGCAGTTTCTTACGAAGGTATTCCAGTCCCACACTACCTATGCTAAAGCCTTTGAGGACCCATCCACTCAAATGTCACCTAGCCAGCAAATGCCAGTTTTCATTAATGAGGATAGGCCCTAAGCCTCAAAGTTGATGTTGAAACTGCCACTCCTGGCATAGAAAAAAAAACACCCTATAGATTCAGACTCCCAGCTTAAACAGACTAAGATACAGAAAACTAAGTCATCAGACACCTTTTCCTACCACTCTGCAAACTCAAGCATCACATCAGAGCAAGACAAAGAGGACTATGATGACCTTGTTTGCCCAGGCTTGGCATCTGAAGGAGAGATGGGACAGGCATCCTCACCTGGTAGTCATTCCCTGGAATGGAGACAACTGACACAACAAACTTTGAGAAAGTTGTCATCACTTTGCGAGAGCCCAAGTGCCACTCAGCCACGGGAGACACCTGCCTCTTGGGAGTGATTTTGCAAATCCTCCTCTGATTTGGCCTCAAGGGCAAGAAGTCTCATGATCGAGGTCACCTGAATAGAAACACTCGCACAGAACCTTGGTTTCTAAATCATCAGATCTGAAGCGTTCACATACAACTTAATATCCAAGATTGCTAAAACTGAAGAGGTTTCACTGCACTGACTACTCACACACAGTGTCAAAATCACCTCTGTGGAAGGGACACCATCATCAGTCTCCCGACCCCTTCAACCCCTGGTGTCAACTGCTCCAGCTCGGTTTCCACAGTGAGATTGCCGGAACTGGAAGGACCTCTGAGGGTATCCCACCAACTACAGTGGACCCTTGACTTACAGACGGCTTGACTTACAGACTTTTTGAGTTACAGACTTCTCTGGCCGCAAAATGTAGGTTTGACTTGCAGACTGAGATGTGACTTACAGACCAGAAAAAAACCAAAATGGAACAAAAATGGCCTGTTACGGGATTAATCGGTTTTCAATGCACTGTAGGTCAATGGAGACTTGACTTACAGACTTTTTGACTTGAGAACCGCCTTCCAATACGGATTAAGTTCTCAAGTCAAGACCCCACTGTACTTTCACCATTCTCCATCTCAGTCAACCTCCAATCCCCAGCATCTATGATCAAGCACTGCCACAGATCTGCCCATTAAACTAAGTCAACAACAACAACAAAAAAGAGTACATGCAGAGCCTCATCAGTATCAAAACACTTGATTCCAGTGGCTTGCCAACAGTAACACCTTGGCGTTAAGGTTCCCCACTGCCACAGACAACTACAGACAGAACAAAGAGAGAACTTCAATCCTTTCACCAGTCATTCAAGCATCCTCAGAACCAAGGATCTTGGAACCAATCATCAGTATTGGGTAAGGACCCTTCTACCTTAACTGACCTAACTAAAACATTGAGTGCCAAACATCAGCATTACATTCTCAGTTCCAGTTCAGCACCACTCTAAATCAAAGACTCCACATTAAAGATTTAAAAAAACACCACCACCACAGGTACTTACCATATCAACCTCTCCCCAGTCATCCCAGTCCAAACATTACTCCTCTGGATATAGAGCTAAGGACACTGATAACAATAATTCCAACACCAGTGATTCCAACTCTGACAAGGAATTCTTTGATGACCTATCATCCATCTTGATGACAACCCCTCTCATCCTCTGAAGAATTCAGATCCTGCTCTGATTTCATTCTCCATGTGGAAAAATTGCTGCAACTGGAAATCCAGCAACAACCCTGCCAAGGTCAGACCCTGTCTGTGACCAATTCAATAAAAACGGCACTCTTTCTTTCCATATTTTCTCTTCTGGATGGCAAAAACCATCTACTTTGCCTCCAACATCGAAGCAAGTAGAAAATCTCTACAAGATACATGACAAGGAAGTCACCTTCCTCCTCAAACATACACAGCCCAATTCAGTCATCATTGAGGTGTCTCAGACCAGGCCCAAAGGCCACCATAACATAGCCATGAACAACAAGGATGGAAAATAGACATGATAGGGAGGAGGACATCACTGCCCTGGGAATCCAAGTCACGAACTATCAAGCAGCAATGGAAGCGTATCCTCTGGAGTAAAATGCAGCCTCTCCTTAACAGTCTAAGAGAGGATTTTAAAGTGTTGGATTTAACTTTTTGACAAGATGCCTGGCAACTCAAGAAAGGCATGCCATCTGTCATGCCACCAACTGTGCTGCAAAAATCATGGCCACAGTGGTATCACTCGGGTGACATGCTTGGTTGAGGCCAGCAGCTATCTCAGAGGATTCAAAATCTTGCATAGAGAGCTTACCATTCAACAGTGAGAGTCTCTTTAAAATAAAACCAATGATATAATGGATAATCTCTATAAGAAAAGAAATAAAGTGGAAGGCACGAGCTTTCCATCAAAATCCCATCAAAAACTTAACCAGTCCTACTGGAGATGCCCTTAACTATAACCTTGCACCAGATACCCTTTAGATAGACATCCTGTAAACTCATCCCAGTACTGCAGACAG